GCCCGTGGCCATGTTTAATTACATGTGTGTGGTATTGTTTAGTCATGACAAAACAATCATCATGATTCAATAAAATATGCAAGAAAGTTTGCTATGATTGATTGCTTACAGTGACTGCTGCTTGATTGTATATCCACGTCCAATGTGGACAATCTCATATGGAATTGTTTTATTGATTATTGGCTTCGTAACAAAGTCAACAGTTGGTTCCTTAGCATTATTGTACCCACTTCGCTAGTTATCATAATAATATGCTATCAGAATCAGTGTAGTTATAAAGGAAATCTTACAATCCATGGAACTTAAAAGGCTAATGCTATTTCACAATTTCTTGCCGTTTTAGACTTTGTTACAAAAAAGGATAAGGACATGATGAATTGTCAAATAAAATTGTCACCTTTTACAACTGCAAATTAAATGAAAACGAAATGAATACTTTTTCTTTTCTTTTTTTTTTTTTCAAATGAAAACACATGTGAAACGTAGGAATTTTGCGATGAGTGTGTTGAACAGTGTTAGAACACTTAAAACTAATTAAAATAGCGGAAGCAATAAAACCAGAGATTTAAAACTCTTCGATGGAGCATCCCATTTCCTCCTCAGAGATCTTTCATTGACAAATCATACTTGTATAGTTTGAACTTATACGACTTGAACTCCCTTCTAGCCTAGCCACAACTACACACGATTTTATTAACTACTTCTCCGGCCACCTCCCGTGGACTTTCTTATACTCGAAACAACAAAATTAACACTTAATTCCTAAGTGTTGAACACGACAATATTTGAATAAAACAAGGAAAAGAAAGAAAATCAAAATGACTTCAGTTCTTTGATGATGTAAGAATCTCGAAAATTGAATAGCGTACTTAAACTGAGAATCAAAGAACTTGAAGCTCGAATAATATGATAATGATAATTCTTTCAGCAGCTAAAATATATATATCCTTAGGCGTGGACTCTTCAACAAGTAAAATCCACCTTGATCTGATTTCCTTCTAAGTGAGTAGCAAGAATTATGGTAAGTGTTGATCTCCTTCTTCTCTCTCCAAGATCTCCTTCTCGTGCATGCCTCTTTTTCCTTGTCCATGCATATCCATTCCTATAATAAAAATAACGACATAAGATCATGCAAATCATATTCAAAATAAATATATAATATAGAACCGAATTTCACATTTATGTATAGCAAAAGAACTCCCCTTTTTAAGCTTGCAAGAACACATCTTCAATATGTTATTTTTGAACTTGATTGCCAAAAAATAAATCTTTCAATCTCCCCCTTTGACATGTAGTTCGAAAATCATATAATGAAGATGACCTGTAACAATGTTAGAACAACAAACAGAATATATATGTTGATGGGTCTATTTCCGGATCTGGGGTGAACCGGTGGAAAATCGCCCGGATCTGGAATGAACCGATGAGAACGAGCTCAGATCTGTCCTGATGGTCTCCAAATTGCTATCAAACCACAAGAACACCTGCAAGAACTCAACGCCGGAGGGATTTCCGGCGTAGAGCCTCCGACGCTCAAGTCAGTATGTGAAAGAGATGAAGAGAGCTGCTCTGAGAGAGCAGCAGCAATAATGAAAAGAATATGGAATGAATGGGAGTTAGGGTTTTGGGATTACCTCAGTTCCTTTATATAGAAGTGCAACATTTACCTGAAGTCCCCAAAATGTCCCGGCCGACTTACTGGAAATGTCCAAAATACCCTGGTCGGCTCGCATTCTGCCCATTTCCTAGTCAGCATCTAGATCCTTCCTTAGCTTCCTTCTTATCCTTAACTTTCCCTCGATATGCTGAAGTGTATCAGAGCTGTCGAGATCTATGAGCAGCGAGATCCCTTCAGTCGACCTGAGATATCGACTCGAGTCGACTGGATCGCATTCAACCGCTAGTGGATCCTGATACGTCTGACCATCGTCCTAGAGGAAATCAACTTATGTTAGTCGACATGTGTACGTCGACTTAGACGAGTGTCGGGATCCTTGACCATGAGTATCATGAAGAGCCTTATTGGCGGAGTCGACTTTGCTAAAGTCGACTTGATAATCTCTGAGCCGTGATGATATGGGCCGTTATGAGTCAGTGTGGCTATATCATATGTAATAGTAAACAATCAAAGGTCAGTCTGCAGAAACACAACACATATCAACTACTGTGTACGAACACATTCCAAAAACAAGTGAACCTGCAGAAACATCAAAACATCTTTATACTTAAACCAAACATCACAAAGTTCATCACAACACATAGTAGCACACAAAGATAGTCAAAAGAACCAACAAATAGTAGCAAACAAAAGAGGTTCTTATACAGCCAAGACCTCACCACATCCCTCCATTAAATCACTCAAAATAACCAGCAATAAAGTGACCACTCCTCAGTGTAGTGATCAATGGCATCATCAGTTGAGTCTCCCCCTGAGTCGTCATCAGCCTTCCCTTCATCTTCATCCATCTCCCCCTTTTTCGAGCTACGGGATGCCTAAGAGCCTTTCCCCGTGTTGCTACGCTTTTGAGCCTTCACTGCTTAAGTATTGCCGGTGATGAGTGAGTTGGGCATTAGCCTTCTTAGCACGTTCATCCCATTCAGAAATTTGCTGTTGGATGAAGTCCTCCCAATGTTCAGGCACGACTGAGAGAGTGGGCTCCATTTTGGTTTTGGGAGTGACTCGTGCGTTGATAGTTCGAGTACTTACTTGCAATAGGTTAGCAACATCCTCAAGTGAATCGGCATAAGGAGGGTTGACAGAGAAGTTAACAGACTTAAAAAATGACCAAATCAAACAGGGATACGAAAGAGTACGATGCGAATCAGGATTCTCTATAAACGACTTAATGACCTCGAAAACGACCCCACCAAAGTTGCCAGGCTACCCAATTAGAATCCAAAAGATCACTTTGCATTGAAGCTCAGTGAGTTGGTTATTGTTGGCTGTTGGGGTCCAATTGCAAGCACCTATCTTGTGTAACAGATTAGCTTTGAGAGAGAGAGCACTCGCTAGCATATTAGAACCAGGACATTGGGTCAAGTGATTATCGGTAAGAGTACGGTTGAGAGTGGTCATGTCAACCTCAGGCAATCCACTATCAAGTTCATCAGGTATCCCAACAAGAGAATTAATCAACTCAGGCGAAAAGTCAAAAATCTGATTACGCAAAAACAGTTTGTGATAACGAGGAGAATCGGGTACAAACACGGCAGAGGTTAAGTTGGCATAAAATTCTCGGACAGCTTGACCAAAAAAGGGTTCAAAATCAGGCACAAAAGAAGTAAGGTTAACATTAGCAATAAGGTGCATGATACCAAAGGTTTCAAATTTTTCATCACTCGCAGCACGCTCACACATGAACTTGTAAGGGGAGAACATAGAAAAACGAATTTGGGCATACTGACTATAGAACCTGGTAACAAAGGTATTAGTCAAGTCATACTCATCATCCTCAGACTTTACTTCCGCCGACACTTCTTCCTTAGGTTCTTTGCTCTTGCGATGGCTTTATCGATGCACGACGGTTCGCGGCGGAGGTGTAGCCTGGTCTGAGAGAACCTCAATAATAGCAGCTTCCTTACATGAGTCTTTATCCGTGGGAGTAGCAGTTGTATCCTCCCTTTTCCCTTATTTGTTGGAAGATTTGGCAACTGAAGTAGGAACAACGGGGGACTCCCTCTGTGTTGCGCCTTGGGGAATCTCCTCGTTCACCGGAGGAAGAGAGACATGAGCATCGTCGGTCTTGGGTAGAGACTGTTGATGCTTGGACGGAGATGCAGTAGCTTTTGGAGAAGACGGAGGTGTAAGTTCCACCGGAGGAATCTCTGAATTAGGGGGTGAATCAGCAGAGTGCACCAGAGAGACCCTGTAGAGTGGCCGCTTATGAGTAGACTTCACTTTGATACGCTTGCGTCGCTTCTTAGAGTGGTCATCGTCCCCGGCCATTGTATCGAAACAGAGATGAGAGAATTTGAGATTTGAGTTTTAGGGTTAGAACGAGAAAGAAGTGGTGAAGAGATAATGGTTTCAGAAAAATAATGGGGGAGAGAGAATCTAGTTGCATGTGGTATTAAAAGAGGTTCTCACATAGGCAACTGCAAAAGGCAAGTTCCTTATCTCGAGGTGGAGAGAGAGAGGGTTAAGGCGGTTATTAGGCAATAAAATCCCACTCAAATCAAAATTAAAACACTTCCAACTTCCCACAAAAATAACTTCCACCATATTTCGAAATTTAAGTGCAAGAAATCAGATTTTATTCCAAAGCGCATTATCACACAAAATATATCTAAGACCCACATTCTCATTTAACATGTTTGTCCAGTGCGTTACGTACTAGTTGGATCTAGTACGTCATCAAATTATCCTAATTAATGATTAAGATTTGTACCCAAGAGCGCTTGGATGAGATGGCTTGGGTCTCTTCCAGCTTAACCAGTGGTCTCGTGTTCGAGCCCTGGAATGCAACAAAACTCTTGAGGGAGAGCTTTGCCGCCTTTGTGGTCCTACCCGGCTCGATTCCGGATTAGTCGGTTCTCCTGTGGATCCGGAAACCAGAAGGTCCCTGTACCAAAAAAAAAAATGATTAAGATTTGTTGTTATCTCAATAAAATAATTAATTGTGAGTGTCAAATTTTGATAATCAGGTCATCAGGGTTGCGGTCTCATACAGTGAAGCATACCATAAGAGGGATGAGCCTAATTGTACTTTAGTGAGGTTCCATCACAAAACCAATTGGTGATGAGATGAATAGTCCACTAAACTTATAAACTAGACTCACTTACTCTATCAAATCAATGTAGGGCGACTCACAATTGATATTCGAATAGTGAGCTAATGACTTGGGCGGGCACATATAAACCAATTGTGTAGTAATTGAAGACAACGATTGCTCGATGATGACCCTGTCCCTACCAATTTGGGATCGCTCAGTCACATGTTATCAATTCAAGTACTGCACTTCACTTTGTTCAGCTAACAATAAGCTAAAACAAAAAAAACATGGGGAAAACAAGGCTTCAAATGCCGAGAGCCCGGTTGCATTATCTGCTGTTCCTGTTTCTCGTCCGGTTAGACCCGGCATTTTCGCAGTCGACGGTCAAGACCCTGCCGGGCTACCCTGGAAACCTGCCTTTCAAACTCGAAACTGGGTCGGATTCTTAGATACAATTTTTCCCGGTTTATTGTGCCAACGGATTTTCATTTTCGAATTTGCTGAAGCAGGTACATCGGCGTTGGAGATGACGAGGAGGTTCAGCTGTTTTACTACTTCATCGAGTCGGAAAATGACCCGTCAAGGGACCCTCTGGTGCTTTGGCTCACCGGCGGCCCGGGCTGCTCGGGGTTTTCCGGCCTAATTTACGAAATCGGTGAGTTTTTTTAGCCTTCTATTTTTAAGGTGCGAGCTGGAAATGTTATGCTCTGCTTGTTTTTCTCCCAATTTTGGGGGTAAATTCCAGTTGCAGTCACGAAATTGATGGATAAACACCACTGATTGCAGTGCAGATCGTGATTTTACATGACAGTTATCCTCACTATAGTTAAATGCTTAACTCCAATTTAGCACTTTCCCCTTTTATTTATCATAGTCGTTTTCACCTTTTGATTTAAGATGAACTGATGAAGTCCATGCTAGGTTAAATCTTGTGATGGTTGATAATAACATAACTATTGTAGTTTATACTGTTCTTTCCTTGCATATAATTTTGATTTCTTTACCTTCATTTTATTTTATGTATTACCGATTTTTTGTAGGTCCATTGGCCTTTGATCTTGAGAATTTCGATGGAAGCCTTCCATCATTACTTTTAAATCCTTATTCATGGACAAAGGTTGGGAACGACTATAGATGCTCGACCACAATTGCTTGCTTACTTGCTTACCTCTCAGCTTGTATAATGTTCCTGAACATAGAATACGTATTTTTCATAGGTTGCCAACATTATATTCATAGACTCCCCTGTCGGCACCGGATTTTCGTATGCAAGCACGTCCCAAGGTTACTACTCGTCCGACACTAAATCAGCAAAAGATTGTTACACTTTTATGCAAAAGGTTCTGTTCTTTTTGTTCGTTTCAGTTTTTGTAGAATAGCAGAAATAAAATTAGAGCGGGTCTTTTTATCGATAATTTATACTCGCTAACTTATTCCTATGAAAAGGCCATCTGTTGAGCTAATATCGAATGTAAAAATAAAATGCAGTGGTTGTCTATTCACCCCATGTTTATCAAGAATCCCCTCTATATTTCCGGTGACTCTTATGGAGGCAAAATCGTACCCATGGTAGCTGTGGAAATAGCAAAAGGTTGCCCTTAAGACTATAATTGAATACATTATTTTTTATTTTTTTTCATGCCTATGTTTTAAACAGTGCCCTGCGGTTTGGGGTTACTTACGAAAATATCGGAAAAAAAGTTTTGAAACCCTTGTTCTTGATTTTCAGGTAATGAAGCTGGAAATCAGCCACGAATGTTACTTCAAGTAAGTGTTGTTTCTTGTAATCTTGTTTTGGCCTCAACTTTTGTTATAGAAAATAGAAAATAGAAAATCAAATGTGAACCAGGGTTACTCGGTTGGGAATTCAATAACCAATCTAAGCAAGGATGACAATGAAAAGATACCTTATGCTCACAGGATGGCACTCATATCTGATGAATATTATGAGGTATTAATAGTCTTTCCCTCGGATTATGTTGTAGAAAATATTAGTATACAAAAACACATTTTGACATTGCGAATTATGTCTCACATTAGAAAACGTGAAATTATCGATTTAACCCCCTAAAAAAATATCTCAGCTAGCAAAAAGCAGCTGTCATGGAGAGTATGTAAATCTTGATCCAAAAAATATACTATGCATTTTAGCTCTTCAGCTTGTCAAACAGGTAAAAATTTACATTTTCATATCTTATAATTCTTACGTGCCAGTCAACTGGGTGTTTGAGAAACTAAAATTATTCTGCTTTGTACTTTATCATAAATGTAGTGCACGGATCTTATCTGGACGAATCATATTCTTGAGCCCAAATGCTTATTCATCAAACCGAAACCTAATGATCATACGTGGGGCTCAAACTTACTAGATGATCCAATTGACGATCTCCTCTTCCTGTCCAAACAAGACTCACCTAAGTGCCGTGTAATTTTTTCCTGCCTTCTTCTTTCGACATTGTTCTTTATATATAGTTATATTACAAAAGAAGTCCTATGTAGTTTAATTTAATTATTAGAAACCCATGATAGTTTAGTTCTGCTTAAAATAATTGTCGATTTCCTGTTTTCCTAGTGAATTGTATTACTCCTTTAGTTATTAGACTAGATTCAAAAACCACATTTTGCGATTTGCATTTTTTAATTATGTTGTTGTTGTTCCTTTTATTGTGTGTGCATCTGGTTCTATCATCTATAGAATTTCCCAACGTATATATGTCTTTCCTCTTAGCAGAACTATAATTATGTGAGCTCCTACGTCTGGATGAACAATGAAACTGTACGAGAAGCTCTTTATATCAGAAAGGTATCTACTAGGAGGAACAAAACATTTTTTTTTTCGTTACATTGCTTACCATAATGTAATTTTGTGCCTCATGAAAATCAGGGAACGATAGGCGATTGGAAAAGATGCAATAAAACATTAAAAGGCTATGAATCTGATGTGGAGAGTGTTTTTAGAGATCATAAACTACTGAATGAGAAAGGCTTCAGAACATTGGCTTACAGGTGTGTTGAAAGAGCAGTACTCATTCGACTAAACTTTGATTATAACCTAGCGGTTCGTCCCGATTAAACTAAAGTACACTCTAATTAATTGTTTCCTCTCTTTGATTATTAAAAATTCATGTCATAAGATTGACTTAGTATGTCATGTTAATTGCTTGAAGATCAAGAAAATTAGTGTGAATTTGTCGGTTGGATTTAAAAGCCGTGATATTCTTACAGCGGTGACCATGACATTTATTTACCTTACTTGAGCACTTTGAGATGGATACGCGAACTAAATCTCACGATTGATAGCGCATGGAGGCCTTGGACTGTAGATGGTCAAGTAGCTGGGTTAGTGTTCTTGTCGTTGCTGATCATTTTTTTATAGCACAGAAAACACTAAACGGGGTCTGATATGTAAAATTGTTCATGCAGATATACAGAGGTATATAAGAACAATGAGGCCTATATAACTTTTGCCACGGTGAAGGCAAGTTTCTTTTTAAAACATGTTTTTAGTTTCAAGTAATTAGAAGTGTTGTTTTTATTTATTTAGTTCTTTGTTTGTATGATTTGTGGTGCTTGTGAATATTAGCAGGGTGCAGGTCATACAGCTCCAGAGTACAAGCCTAAAGAAAGTCTTGCAATGTTTGAAAGATGGATACGTCTATCCCCACTTTAGGCGGTATTTATTTAAGGAAGATTAATAAATCTATACTTATATTAAAGGTGATCATATTTACTAAATATAGTTGTTAGAAAAGTCATACTTAATTAATGAATTTCTAATTTTATCAAGTATTTAATTAATCCATTTAATATTTTGGGTATGCAAATCAAATTAGCATTTAGTTAGTTCCTAAAATATTGGGTATGCAATATCCTCCCTATATATAATTCTCGAATGCGCTGAGCCTACGTGGCTGCATCTGATGCTTCGGAATCCTACTTGGCGAAGAATCATGCTTCATAATTAGGTTTGGACAAATAATATTGATATATTAATAATTAATTAATAATATAGGTTCGGACATTCCATAAATATTATTTATATAACTTAGGTATTTTAATATCATTTGTACTAATATAACCCTTTAATTATTTGTAATTTTACATAGTAAGACACTAAGTGACTAATATATCAATGACTTTGATTTGTTTCCTTCAATTAGCTATTGAATTGTAAATGTATTTTAAAAGTTGATAATTTTTGTATTTCTTATCGGTTTTACATATATTATATATCAAATTAATCATCTTTTG